CTAAAAGTCAACTGTGATGTAATGGTTCCATCAAAAGTCAACTGTGATGTAATGGTTCCATCAAAAGTCAACTGTGATGTAATGGTTCCATATGTACTGCCCGGCCCCACCCGTTTCACCGGTCACCAGACGCCGTAGTGTAGAATGCAAGTATCGCATAAGGTGTAGGTTAAATGTTTGCCCCCCCCCCTTCCCAACGGAAATCGAAACGACACAATCTTATGGGTTCGTGCTGGCTTACATCGAGAGGATTATCCAAACACATTTTTAAACTCACAGCAATGAAGATTAAAATGTATTTAATATGCGGTTTTTTTTATGTACTGGAGAACAGTGTTTCTTTCAGGCATCTCTTCGTGGGTGGCACCTCCACCCCCCCCCCCCCCCCCCCCGACCACGAAGCACGACTACCGCCCCCCACTCACCAATTCCCGAACGAAATAGAATTAATATCGAAAATACATACTTCTACCCGTGTCTGCTTCCCCCCCCCCCCCTTCCGGAGAAAAAAGTCGACAGAAACACAGCTAGAGAGTATAAAAGATGCCCTTTTTTATCACCAATATTTTACTTCCGGCATCTGTGTCTTTCTTCTTCCCAGTTCGATTCAAGTTTCGGACGAGTCTGTCGAGCTACGTTTTGTATGTGATTGGGATATATAGTGCATCTCAGCAGTAGTGTCCCCTGGTAGGTAGACACCCGCTGAGATAAACTGGGAACCATTATGTTTGTGATTTACTGCATCTGGGCAATATAGTGCCACGGCTATTCCAGATGGTGTCACACTGCGCCTATTTATGTTATTGTAAATATAACTTTAAAATGTTACACAGATAAATTTTCTATATTTTGTTTTGGTGTCACCCCTTGCAAGGTGTCACCAGGAAATTTCGCATCCCATTCCATACCCCATCCCTTGTGTGGATGTGCAGGCTATAATTATGGTGTACGCCTAATAAAAGCAACATTTACCAATACAAATAAAGACAGTTTGACAGTAATCGTTTCGAGTAAATCTGTTCAGCTGTTCCAATGTAAAAATAAAACTGTTGTTTGTGTTGATAAACGAAAAGCAAATAGTTAATCCGTAATTGCCAAGTTTCACCAAGCCAATGTTTAGTTTAATCACAAAACCAACACCCGCTCCCCTGTACGCTGTAAAGGCCATACCAGACGTGATTACCGATAAGAACAAGGCCAGAAACAGCAAGGCCTGAATGCTTTAGTCATTAGCTGCCGCAGTAGTGGAGAGTTCGAGTGCGCGTCAAACCTGGTTAAAAAGTTGTTGAGAAAAAAAAACACGCCAAAATAAAGTTGAATGCTCAAGTGTATGTGTACCTAGGTAATTGCAGGTTTGTATACCTGGCACCTGGGTGTCTGTCGGCTTGTGTACCTGGGCGTCTCTAGGTTTGTATATCTGGGTGTCTGTAGGTTTATGTACCTGGGTGTCTGTAGGTTTGTATACCTGGGTGTCTGTAGGTTTGTAAACCTGGGTGTCTGTAGGTTTGTAAACCTGGGTGTCTGTAGGTTTGTAAACCTGGGTATCTGTAGGTTTGTATACCTGGGTGTCTGTAGGTTTGTATAACTGGGTGTCTGTAGGTTTGTGTACCTGGGCGTCTCTAGGTTTGTAAACCTGGGTGTCTGTAGGTTTGTATACCTGTGTGTGTGTAGGTTTGTGTACCTGGGTGTCTGTAGGTTTGTATACCTGGGTGTCTGTAGGTTTGTATACCTGGGTGTCTGTAGGTTTGTATACCTGGGTGTGTGTAGGTTTGTGTACCTGGGTGTGTGTAGGTTTGTGTACCTGTGTGTCTGTAGGTTTGTGTACCTGGGTGTCTGTAGGTTTGTGTACCTGTGTGTCTGTAGGTTTGTATATCTGGGTGTCTGTAGGTTTGTATATCTGGGTGTCTGCAGGTTTGTATATCTGGGTGTCTGTAGGTTTGTATACCTGGGTGTCTGTAGGTTTGTGTACCTGGGTGTTTGTAGGTTTGTATAACTGTGTGTCTGTAGGTTTGTATACCTGGGTGTCTGTAGGTTTGTATACCTGGGTGTGTGTAGGTTTGTATACCTGGGTGTGTGTAGGTTTGTGTACCTGGGTGTCTGTAGGTTTGTAAACCTGGGTGTCTGTAGGTTTGTGTACCTGTGTGTAGGTTTGTAAACCTGGGTATCTGTAGGTTTGTAAACCTGGGTGTCTGTAGGTTTGTAAACCTGGGTGTCTGTAGGTTTGTAAACCTGGGTGTCTGTAGGTTTGTAAACCTGGGTGTCTGTAGGTTTGTATACCTGTGTGTAGGTTTGTAAACCTGGGTATCTGTAGGTTTGTAAACCTGGGTATCTGTAGGTTTGTATAACTGGGTGTCTGTAGGTTTGTATATCTGGTTGTGTGTATAATAGCAGAGATTACATAAAATACTTTCAAACATAAAATTTTAGCTGTTTGTGTGGCCTATGAAAGCAAAAGAGAATCGCAACTGAATGGGTTTGCAAATTTACCACGAACATACGAAGAGTTATAAAAGCCCATCTAATGCAGGGTGTTAAATAAACACTGCCATTACATTCTTTTTTGTTTGTTGTGTGATCACTTTTATATCAGGTTTGTTGGGTGATCACTTTTATATCAGGTGTAAAATCTATCAGGTCAGACCAGCTAAGAAGTGAAACATTTTTTTTTTTAAATAAACACAGCAGCCCTAGTTCTTGTTTAGCAGTTTGTTTTCAGGAGTTAGACTAAAACATACAAGTTTCTATAGCCACACACGTGTAATGTCCCTCCCACCCCCACCCATGTTATAAACTCACCCAACCATGCCCCGTATTTCTCCATGTCCACAATACAACACGCTTCATCATCGAAAACTTCAACGTGACCTTAGTATAAAGTAGAATAGTGCTGGTGTATAGGAACAGTCACACGTTGATCGATTTACTTAATACATCAGTAACCTCAGCATACAATATAGCCAAACTTTAAAATGTATCAGATTTTAGATTTTACAGTATATATTTTACGCCGGTTCCAAACCCGTTGACACCCATGTAAGACCGAAGTCGAACCAAACCAGGACTTATAACTACGGACAGGTTGTCACACAAGAGCAGATAAATCAGGAGCATTGTTTTCCTCCCACCTTCCCACACACAGAATCAATTAGGATTTTATCTGCTTGATCGCGCTACCCGCCCGCCGTGGAATCACAACATTGGTGCCCATACTTAGAACTTCTGCAGTATGGTAGCTGGTGTACTCGCTACCTTTCATTTTCTTGTTGGGGGAAAATAAATGTAAGACATATGGTGGACATCACCCTACATCTGAACATACACTACCACGTCTAAACATGAACTACTGTGGCAAACCACACACACACACACCTTCCGTCTAGACACGTACTACTTTGGTGACCCCCCCCCCCTAACAAACTGTACAACCCTCCGTTCACGTTCCCTAAAACATGGATGTTATCAAATACAGCGCTTGGCTTTCCTTGAGGTCGGCTTTAATTGCCCCACTTTGTAAAACAGAATCTGAGAAGTGAACTGTATCATCGCATACATAAACAAATACAGCGGTGGGTTATCTTCATCTTCAGGCAGATATACAACCAATACACAGGGGTGGGGGCCGTCGGAGCTGGAGGGGTGGGGGAGATCTGATAAACAGAGGGTTGGGGGAGATCTGAGAGGTAGGAGGGGTTGGGGAGATCTGATATACAGAGGGGTGGGGGAGACCTGAGATATACAGAGGGGTGGGATGATCTGCGATATAGAGGGTGGGGGAGACCTGAGATATACAGAGGGGTGGGATGATCTGCGATATAGAGGGGTGGGGGAGACCTGAGATATACAGAGGGGTGGGATGATCTGCGATATAGAGGGTGGGGGAGATCTGAGATATACAGAGGGGTGGAGGAGATCTGCGATATAGAGGGGTGGGGGAGACCTGAGATATACAGAGGGGTGGGGGAGATCTGCGATAAAGAGGGGTGGGGGAGACCTGAGCAAAGGCGTAGCGAGGGGAGCGGGGGGACATATGTCCCCGGGCGCCGACCTAAGGGGGGCGCCAAATTGAAAGTGTGAGGGGGGTGCAAATGAAAAGTTCGAGGGGGGGGTGCAAATGGAAAGTTTGTCCCCGGGCGCCGGGAAGGGTCGCTACGCCTCTGGACCTGAGATATAAAGAGAGGTGGGGGGATCTGAAATATAGGCCTATAAACTTCCGGCAGAAGATGCAAGTAAGCATAACTTGCTCCTAGCATGATAACTGCCTAGAGGCAAACGGAGTCGGAAAATAAAAACTGGGATGTGCAAATAGCTGAAACAATAGCATAGTAGGGTAACGGGATAGTCATTAACTGACGTTATGAATCCAAGTTTTTTTTTGTTCAAAATGCCCATTATGCTAGAATCTGATACTGTACAGGTGTGAGAACAGAGTATGAATAAGCGCAGAGTTAAATAAACAAGGAGTAAATCAGAACATTGTCGCTAATCGATAAATTGTCATCACAATGATCATTATTAAAGCACGCTGATCAACGAACGAATGTTTAGTTTTTTTCCTGTGGTCACCATGTCTTTGCCAGGTTTTTTTTTAAGCCATCAGGGCTAGTTAGTCACACTGTAACAAACTAGCTGTAGCTCAGATACTGACATAAACTGACCATCTTTAGGGGGTATTTTCCACGTTTTTACCCCCCCCCCCCCCCCCAACATCTTACAAAATACCCTCCAAAATTGACGTCACGCTTCAGACCCCACATACAAATTTGGATATTTTTGTGAAAGAGCTTTAGCCCTCAACAATAATGGAGAATGGTCAAGACAGGTATATAGATCAATCTTTATACAGGCTATATATCAAATATTCAGTTAAAGAAATTACGTTTTAAAATGTAATAGTGTAACATCATACTTTCTTACACTCAATGAAATGTCATTTATGGATATACACGTCCATTCTCAAAAAAAAAAAATGAAATACACACAATAGCAGGGCTAATACTTACCCTATGACAACAATGGTAAAATCTAAAGCATTCCAGCCATTTCGTAGATATGCTCCTTGGTGCATAACAAAGCCGTATGCAATAATTTTAAGTATTCCCTCCAATAAGAATATCACTAAGAAGACATATTCAATGCCATCCTGTGGAAGTTAAATTGTAAGCATTTTATTTCAGTTTATGCGATGATGGATGAATCGGTGTGGACAAAGATTAATTAGTCTTAGCTTATTCTTTAGAATGTTAATACGGCAAAAAGAAGAATTGGTGGTGGAACAGATGATGGGACAGTTGGTGGGACCAGAGGCGTAGCGAGGGCGGGGCGAGGGGTGCGGGCCGCACCGGGTGACACCATTTAGGGGGTGACCCCATGGCAAAAAATTACAATATATATATATATATATATATATATATATATATATATATATATATATATATATATAGTTTATTTGGGGGGGGGTGACACCACGACGTGCCGCACTGGGTAACACCCGACCTAGCGACGCCACTGGGTGGGGACAGAAGATTTTGGTTTTGGGACAGTGTGATGACGCAAGTTTACGTCATATAGGTCACACAGAAGTTAGCAGAAACAGAGTAGTTAGGTAGACCAATAGAATTACAGGAGACGACCGGTCACGTTGGACGGTCAGATGACCACTGAAGCGTGGGTCAGCAGTCAGACAGAGGTAACGCTAGGGGAGAGACGTAGAAGTTGAAATTAAATATAGTGTCAGAGTTTGTCATTGAAGTGTGTAGGGAGAAATCAAGTGTTAGTATTAGTTAGATAGTGTTAGTAGACAGTCAGGCGTAGTTAGGGTACGAGTCGATGCCATGTGTAAATAAAGAACTGTATAATATTGAATTGGACCTTTTGTGTTGATTCCACACTGTACCATGCGTACAAAAGACGAGGCGACCCCCGAAGGAAGAATATATACCGCATGCTCATTACGTAGCATTACGATTACTGATTGTATAGAATCAAACTTTCTACAACCCTGCATTACATTTGGTGGTAAAACTGCCAGTATCACATTTGGTGGAGCAGCGGTTTTTTCAACTTGCACCCTCACAACTGGTGTTTCTTCTACCCCACCCACACAGACAGAGAAGAATTTAGTGGTGGGACAGAGAAGATTTTGGTGGTGAGACAGAGAAGAATTTGGTGGTGAGACAGAGAAGATTTTGGTGGTGGGACAGAGAAGATTTTGGTGGTGGGACAGAGAAGATTTTGGTGGTGGGACAGAGAAGATTTTGGTGGTGGGACAGAGAAGATTTTGGTGGTGGGACAGAGAAGATTTTGGTGGTGGGACAGTTGTTGGGACAGAGAGGATTTTGGTGGTGGGACAGTTGTTGGGACAGAGAAAATTTTGGTAGTGGGACAGAGAAAATTTTGGTAGTGGGACAGAGAAGATTTTGGTGGTGGGACAGTTGTTGGGACAGAGAAGAATTTGGTGGTGAGACAGAGAAGAATTTGGTGGTGGGACAGAGAAGATTTTGGTGGTGAGACAGAGAAGATTTTGGTGGTGGGACAGAGAAGATTTTGGTGGTGGGACAGAGAAGAATTTGGTGGTGAGACAGAGAAGATTTTGGTGGTGAGACAGAGATGATTTTGGTGGTGGGACAGAGAAGATTTTGGTGGTGGGACAGTTGTTGGGACAGAGAAGAATTTGGTGGTAAGACAGAGAAGAATTTGGTGGTGGGACAGTTGTTGGGACAGAGAAGAATTTGGTGGTGGGACAGAGAAGATTTTGGTGGTGAGACAGAGAAGATTTTGGTGGTGGGACAGAGAAGATTTTGGTGGTGAGACAGTTGTTGGGATAGAGAAGAATTTGGTGGTGGGACAGAGAGGAATTTGGTGGTGGGACAGAGAAGATTTTGGTGGTGAGACAGAAGAATTTGGTGGTGGGACAGAGAAGATTTTGGTGGTGAGACAGAAGAATTTGGTGGTGGGACAGAGAAGAATTTGGTGGTGGGACAGAGAAGAATTTGGTGGTGGGACAGAGAAGATTTTGGAAGGTGAGACAAAGAAGATTTTGGTGGTGAGACAGAGAAGATTTTGGTGGTGGGACAGAGAAGAATTTGGTGGTGGGACAGAGAAGAATGCAAACATTATATGTTCATTGAATGACAAACAAAATGTGTTCATGAAACTAAGAAGAAATAAGTTGATAGGGGAAAGGAGTAAGAATTATTTATGGGACAATCATAAGAATCAGCTCATGAGAAAAATTATTTTCTTATTTATTCAGCAGCAACTATAATTAATCTGTCTTCAAATATTTTTTTTCTCATTTTTATACCTGATGATTTTTTTAAATAAACAACTTTCTGATTCCTTCTGGATATATAATTAATCCTCTTACATTAGCCACAGAGTACTGCCTGATTTATCAATAAACTATGGGATATCATGTAATAAATTATACTGACTTTATAATGCACATAGAAATGTGTGCAATTAGAAGCTGTGTTATTAACCCATTGAATTTTTTAATTACTTTAATTATCTGAACACTAATTCAACATAGCTTATGATATCAGCAAATTTAAACAACTTTCACTGATCTAAAAAGATGCTAAGTGCAGTAAGACAGATAAAGATATACAGTTGCATGAATCTATGTGAGGCATGCATTTATTACAAAAATACTTACTAGAGCAGAGTTGACATAATTAGAATCACCTTGGGGGTATGGTGTATAAATAGCAAGAGCAACACAATTAGAAAAAATGGTGATCAATACCAAAAACTCAAATGCTGTAATTTTAATTAAGGAAATGATGTATGAATGTGTCTAGTAAAGTCATTAATCATTTTAAATTGGTAATTGTAAAACCTAAATATCAGATGATAATTAATAGAAGATTGCCATATTAAATAAGTTGTCACTAGCATAAAAAAAAACAACGGAAGCTGTAATTATGGTAGTGTACAAAACACAATAACAACTCAATAAAACAATTTTTTTTTAAAAAGAAACATCAACAGATAGGCCTAAATAACCACAAACAATAAAATTTAAAAAGAAACATCAACAGATATGCCTAAATAACCACAAACAATAAAATTTAAAAAGAAACATCAACAGATATGCTTAAATAACCACAAACAATAAAATTTAAATGCTTTTAAAATTCTGGATTTGATAAAATCTCTATTTTTTAAAAAAAAGGATATTTGTATTCTGCAACTTGTATACAAAATTTGCGTATAGGATTTTTCAAAGTCATACAAAAGAGCGCCCGCGCAGGGCGAACATTTTGGTTTTGTTGTTTCCTCATGTTGGCTCGCTTTCGTACAGTGGCCGCTCCTTGAGCTGCAGCAAGGGCTGTACTCCAGCCGGTGCTTAAAGCTCTACCTGAGTCTGTTGTATTCAAAGCAAGGCCACCAACAACACTAGCGACCGCTGATGTATTCTGGGGACCAAGAGGTTTATATCCAGAGCCGCCTCCAGCTCCTCCCCCAGGGTCTTCACCACCTCCCCCACCACCAACTGGCTTTGGAGGTGAGTTGACAGATCTACTTGGACTGTGTCCCCCTCCTCCACCAATCTCTCGTTTGGGACCAGGTGGCTGATCATGGTTGACCCCTGAGAAAGAGACGGAAAAATTAAGTATTTCCATGATGAAGAAGCTAATCGTAACATAGGTCTTCTTATATTTAGTGCATATAGTGCATATCTTTATTCTCAGACTAGCTCTTATATCAAGTCAACATAAGTTTCAAATCCTTAAGCAAAAACAATACTAAGCTTGAGTTCAATCAGAACAAATTCATACTACTGAAAAAATTATATTTAAACGATGGTAACAACAATTAAATTAAAATAATTATTTTATAACAGCTCAAACGTTTACTTTCATCTCTTTTATTTTTCTATTCTCACATCTTGTAAAACAGCTAACTCTGATATATTGGAATTAAATGTAAACACCATTTTCTAATGAATCTTAATCACAAAAATCAGCTTTATTAAATAATTAAAATATAAATATACATATATATACATACATATATATATATATATATATATATATATATATATATATATATATATATATATATATATATATATATAAAATAGAGGCCTTTTGGAAATTGTTGGGACCCAGGTTAAATAATGTTTCATTATAAAGCATTGATTTTTGTATTAAAAATTGTACAAACATGATCTTAACTTAACTTAATATAACTTAACAGATATAATATGATGATTCTACAGTTTTAGTTTTAAAATACTTTTTTTTTAACTTAAAAGGATATATTTGCTGTGTTTCTATGAGAAAGCAATTTTAGATTACTTTGTATTTAATAAAATATTATGTACGGGAGAATAACATTATAAAACATTAACTATCATTTTTTGTCAATACAATACAAAAGCAATGTGCTTTTAGATACAACTATATTTTGTTGTATTGGGAAACCTTAAATACTCCAGCTATTATGAAAGTAAAAAACAACTTTATAAAATTACAATATAAAAATAATCAGTTTTGAATAAATAAAATGTATCCTATTTGGATAGTTATGTAGATTTATTTTTGGTCAAACAATGCACACTTTTGAGCATTTTTGAAAAAGGATAAGTCTGACCTACGTAGATTAACTGTTTCACAGCAGAAAATTGTGGCACCACTCAGTGAACAAAGTCATCTTGTCACCACTTAGTGAACAAAGTCATCTGGTCACCACTTAGTGAACAAAGTCATCTGGTCACCACTCAGTGAACAAAGTCATCTGGTCACCACACAGTGAACAAAGTCATCTGGTCACCACTCAGTGAACAAAGTCATATGGTCACCACTCAGTGAACAAAGTCATCTGGTCACCACTCAGTGAACAAAGTCATCTGGTCACCACTCAGTGAACAAAGTCATATGATCACCACTCAGTGAACAAAGTCATCTGGTCACCACTCAGTGAACAAAGTCATCTGGTCACCACTCAGTGAACAAAGTCATCTGGTCACCACTTAGTGAACAAAGTCATCTGGTCACCACTCAGTAAACAAAGTCATCTGGTCACCACAACAGCAATTAATTGTTTTATATGGGCCTAAAACAATTCCTTAGATCATATCTTTTGGCATATGAAACGGGGGTGGGGGGGGGGGGGGATGGGGGCGAAGATGACACACTTTATAAAATCACAGGATAAAGGAGGCCTATGTATTTTTTTTATTTTGTTTAGGGGAGGAAGCAGTGCCCTGGAGAGATGCTTGATAGAAATCATGCCCTTCTCCCAAACCATTTTCATTTCTTAAACCACCGCTATCATAACCCCTCTCCCCTCACACACACAGGATAATCACATGTAGTTTTAGGGGAAAATCATTCATGACATCTTTAAAATATGTATGTGTCTTGAACTGTTCATCTACTCATTCTAGAAGGCAAAATGTTTACAAAAATAAAGATAAAGAAAATAAAGTGCTATAGGGTCTAAGACAATGCTCCTATACCAGGACTACACCCCATATATATATATATATATATATATATATATATAGGCCTATATATATATATATATATATATATATATATATATATATATATAGGCCTAAAATAAAACAAAAGGATAAACCACCAACCCACCCCATTTGTGTTGTGTTGTATTGTCATGGTCCCTTTTTTATAGAACAATCACAATGCCAGCTTGGATGATTTTCTTCCATTTATAAGGTTGACCGTGCTTAGTTACATTTTAATTTTAATGAAATGTAAACTAAACCAGTGCTAAACAAAAGCACATGGATCTAGTGATAGGTTTTTAAACAATTGAGAGGGAAAAAAAGTTCGGATACACATTATTTTTGAAATACGTTAAAAAGGTGACTGACCTAGTTGGTCTAGAAAACCACACGTCTGCCTAGCCAACGCCATTAATAAATCAAAATCAATATTTAAAAATACACGTTTAACCTCATTCCATAAAATAACTACAGGTCCTTTTAAATTACAAAAGACACACGTGAAGTTAATTTTTCATATTTCAAAACGTACTTTTAAATTCCATACTTTAAATTGCTGTCAAACTGGCTCGCTAACTTGTGAGCCGAGGGTCACTCGACTCACGTTTGGTATGTTCATGTGTATCGGTACTCACGTCGAGAACAAGCAGACCCGTGTAACTTGACCATATCTAAACATAGTAAGTGTATTAATTATACAAACCTGTTGGCGAATTCGCCATTATTAGGAACCAGATAAGGGGTTGTTCCTAAACAGAATTTATTTTTATCTCATTATTTCATCCATTTTCACAAAGATAAAATCTTAAATAAATTGACGAAGAATATATTCCATCTTGCATCCGGGCATCACTATTCCGACTCGTTCTTCAATAAGTTTTATTTTATCAAAGTTTCTGATGCGATCGATACAATGTCTCGTAAGCTTTGGAAAATCACTTCATGTTTATTACAAAACAAGATTTTAATAACACAACTGCACACTTAAAATAAATAGTGAATGTAACTAGATTTGATACGGGATTAACCGCACGCCCGTCCTTTATTGCAGCCTAGCCGCATAATAAAAACGATTTAAATAGATTAGCGGTACGTTTTGGAAGGCATTTTCTTTAGTGTTTACGGTAAAATGTAAATTATATAACGATTGATTATAAGGCAGGTTTTGTAATTAAAACAATGTAAAATTAAAATGGAAATTTTTGGGTACTTGTTTTAATTTTTGTTTAGGGTTTTGCAAGGCAAGAGGAAATAGCAGCCCGCTCAGAATTTGCTGCGCCATGTATAGAAGCCAACATGGCGGAAGAAAGCCGTATGAATCTAGCTGCATTACAGCAAAGAGATCCGTACATAACGGAAATTATCGACAAAGCTGTGAAAGTTACTCTCTACAAGTTTTCACAACAGATGTCGAAATGGGTAAAATATTTTTATGTAATTAAACCTGCTTTTGAAAAAAATCATTTTCATTAGACTGGACGTTTGGGCTAGCTAGAGATCAGAATTCGAGTTGTTAGCTGGCTAGCAGCAGGCTATGCTACTGTCTGTAACTGTGAGTAAATCTCGATCTTATCTAGAGTAGATTTCATCTGCGCGGTCAAGCCACGAAGCGGTCATCGTCTGTTCATTGCTTTGTATAATAATTGTTTGGATGTTTTATTACAAACTACCGGTATCTGCTGTCCGCATGTCCATTTCTAAATCTATCCAGGTCAAATTCTTTTGTTTTCTCCTTCTGGAAGACAAGTTTTTAAATTTTTAAGTTGAGGTATGACGACAGCCGGTGATCCCAGTTCCCCGGATGCAAACACTAGGTCCGGGATGAGACGAATAAAACCAACCAATCAAAGCTTTTTATAATTAGGTTAACTGTAAATAGTAGGTTGAATTATGGATTTTTTAAAATAAAATATTCTGTTATTTCAAATACACCATTAAGTTCCTTACCCCTTAAGAGAACATTTGACACCACATTTAAATATCTAGCTTATTCGGTTGACGAGAAAAAAGAGAATTTGAAAATTTAGCTAGAATGGAAAATGAATGACAAAACAAGAATCTTGCTCCTGGACCGGCATAACATGACGCCGTGAACTTGTGTGCACGAGCTTTTAATTCCCGCCATGGTAATTGCGTCAGCTTAGGTCATTTACTCACCGGAAAATAACAAAAAGCAACTGGTTGATAATAAAACTTAGATCTAGTTATTTTATTATTTATTAAATTCTACTCTACATTTTATTCATACCATTTTAAGAAATAATGAACACCTACATAAATCAAACGACCATAATAAATATTTTTATTTCAAATTCTAATTTTAAATAATAAATATGCATAAAATAATATGATAGTAATAGTTAAGATAGTTTATAAATGCAAATACATTTTACACTCAATCACATTATATTGAGTCAACAGTGTGGCAGCTGAGGTTCATACATGGTATTAGTGTCTTTTTTTTTTTACATTACATTTTTTTCATCTTGAAAACATGACGTATGTGATTTTTTTTAAAAAATAAAATCTCCAAACATCGTCACTCGCGTGATTGCTTGCTTATGTTTACTATCCTGTGGATGAAAAATCCCACCACGATCGCGGGGTCACCGTGACTTCAGCAGGCCTACAGTACACGTCATAGAATGAACACGCGTACACGAGATGGTCGGTGTCTTCACTTCTCTCTCCCCCCCCCCCCCCCTCTTCTTCAAGCAAATTGAAAAAGTGACCTACTTCCCTACTTCTGGTCATTTTTTTTAGTTCGGTCATTTTTTTTTTAAGTTCGGATATCAGGCATGCTAGACAGCCAGCTGTATAAAAAAAATATTTTTTAAACTAGATCTACGTCTAGCTTAAAAAAATAAATAAATAAACGCTTAAAATGCCCGTAAACAGATTATTTAGCGCCAAAAAAAAGGCCGCTGAACGAGCATTTTTTACAATACGCAGCAATGAAAAAGGCTAACGGCCAATCAATTAAGTCTAAAAATCGCCCGTAATTAGGCCTAGCTATGAAAAAGGCCACTGAACGAGCAACACTGATTATATAAACGAATAGGCCACGCGGCGTTGACGAGGTCAACCACCGGTCACGAATGCAGCAACGGTCGGCCCACAGTGAAGGAAAAATCAATATACTAATAAAATTACTAATACAATAATAATGTCTATAATTTTACTTTTTCCACACATGCTACAATTGATTTATAATTAAAATACTAGACTTAACAGTTCATTCCGTAAAAAACAAAAACTAGTTGTTTCAGTCTGGCAACTAGCGTAACAATGACGTCATGATACTTAAAATAGCGGATAGAAATGTCAGCGTGGGTACCTCATCCTCGAGGAAGATTTTAGAAAAAGTAATCAAAAATACTGTAAATATACATGATAAATATATCAATTATATATTAATGTACAGTTAGTCGAGCCGTTTTCCCCGTTAGTCGGTCGTTTTTGGCGGCGGTTCAGTTTTTACGGAGAGTGCTCCACTAGAAATCCTCTCATTATTTACAAACACGAATCTTGCGATTTTTTCTGGCATTCTAAGGCATATTATCCATTTTATTAGCAATTTGCATTAAAATAATGATGAGAATTTGCGATATAAACAGTTTTTTCATTTGTCGTGGATGGGACCCCTAAAATAAACGGAAAAACCGTCAGAAAACGATGCGTGACGTTTCAGGGTCAGAGGTCAATCCTGCCATCTAAGCAATGCGCCAGACTAGTAAATAGCTTCTACATATGTGCGGGACCCTGTAAATACTATAGCTAAGGCTATTAAATAGTTTTTCTCACTAAATCTAGAATTTACGCAATTATCAATTTAAACATGACCACTGAATAATAGACATCCATATTTAATCCATTAGGCACTAACTTTGGAGTTTTTAGTTCGTTTTGAACTAAATTAGTTAATTTAATATTTATTGTCAATCACTACCATGTCCAACACATCTCTCCATGACAACTCTTCTTAAGCTTGAAGCTAAAGAAAACCACAAATCAGGTTAGACTCCATGCACAAGAGTTCCTCACTAGTGATCACCAAATAGCGGTCACGTGGTTTTTAAAAAATAAAAATAAATTGGTTGTGATATGGACGCCGGTCTTATAAAAAAACAGCTCACAATATTTGATTTCTTTTTTCATAGACTGATAAAACTAATAATGCTTTACGTTCTCGCTCATTTCTGTACCTACACTGTTGATATTTTTTAAATTCTATTAATTTTAATGAAACCAACTTTTGAATTTAGCCTCCGTTCTCCAAACCAAATTTTAAAATGCTTTTCTGGCATATCTAACCCTGCCACTTATGGTTTGTTGTTATGACACGGAAATCCCGCCATTTTGCGCGTGGTAAACATTTTTAAATGTAATTAGTTGAAGGTCTCTGGAATTTGGCCGAAAAATCACCGGAAATCAGCCGGCCGGTCCGGGCGCCATATTGTTGTTAGCAACCGACCACGCATCCAAGTTAGAGAGAAATACTACTATTAAAGCAACCTGAGAGGTGAAATTGGGGTGGCCGCAGTTTGGGTAAGGATTAGGGTGGTTTACCCTCACTGCTTCACCAACGACTTGGGCTAGACTAGATGCTCTATATTTCAAGCTTGAAGCTAAGTCTAGAATCTAAATAGTTTCTAAATTTTTCTGTTGTTATAAATTATTTCGATCATTCACTTCTTCTAGATCTAGTTTGTGTCACTACATACAAGCATGTATAAGCAAATGTTACGTTATGTCTTGTTAGTGATTGTACCGTCCCTTGTGTTATGATTATTATAGTTGCGTCCCTTGAGTCATCACAAAAACAAAAGACATTGACCTGGAGATATTTAGAAATGGACATGTGTACAGCAGATATTGGTAGTTTTGTATAAAACATCAGAACAAATATTATACGAAGCCATTAACAGACGATAGCAGCATCATGGTTTTTACAGCGCGTGGAACTTCACTCTAGATTATATTTGAATCTAGCCCATGTCAGTCGTTTTGTAAGGCATTTTGGTAAAAATTTACACAGAATTAGCTCAGGAAAATCTACCATTCAAAAACTAAAAAAATTAGTAGACTAGATCTAGTATCCCTCACAAACCTGGAGGTGGGGCCCATTTATAACAACTTTACTGTTTACACACGGGACAAATGACTTTCAAAGATTTTCTACTTAGTTTCAGTTTCAGGGACTTTCTTAGATATACTATACTTTTTCCACTGGCAATATGGGGTGTTGGTAAATTGCTAAACCCGAAATTGCAAGAACAAAATGCTATGCATTAGCCAAGCCAGTGCGGCTGTCGAAAAAATGGGACAAATCGCTTTTCCCTGCCCCCTGCATGTTCAACATTATTTTTGCATGATTTTTTTTGTTTATGTTAATATGTTATGCATCATTTGTCTCATAATTGAACAACCTTTAAACTGTATAAGTTTGATTTCTGTATTATTTTAGACGTAGAAGAAATCTCAGATTGAATTTTACCCTTCGCCGCACTTCATGGTGACGTGCCAGTTAGGGCGGAGGCTTTCTCGCCTTTTTAAAAGGAGGGTGTTATTTTGAGTCTATGGACTCTTCGAATTTTTGTACTAGAACGGCAAATGCTGGTAGAAAAATTTATTAAATGTACTCGTATAATGCTCAGGGTTCATGGTCAAACTAGGTTGAATACTTTCAAAGATACTTTCAAAGATATCGGACTGCAAAGTTAAACTAAGTTATTTGGGCTGTTTATGGACCAATTTTTAATTTGAATCCTGAACTGTAATCCTGAAATCTCAACGTTTATTTATATGTATGATATGTCCTATAAGGCCCTATAATAAGGACGTCTATAGACTTTGATTTTGAAGTGATCCGCAAATCTAAACATGGCGCACCCACCACTGTCCGACTGAACCGCTCTGCTGTGCTTCGAATCGGCGTCTTTAAACAGACGACGCATTACAAATTTTTGAAAGTCATTATAAACAATTATAAAAATCAACAAAATTGATATTTATATGATGAAAAAATTATTCATGGGCGGTGGTAATAATACAAAATTTCTTTGGAACAATACATTATGTTTGCAGCTGCAGCGAATCTATCTAAGGTGATATATTGGGTGGCTTCAGTGTTCCACATAAAAGAAGTTGATAAATCATCAGCATGTCTAGCGACAGAATATTTGAGGTTAAAACAGTACAAACTAAACTTCTTTGAAATATGAATCAAAGTTTGTTATAAATTGGGTGTGTTTTAGAGAGGGGTAGAGAGCTGGACTGCTAACTCGTAAGTCTCGAGTTAGAATCCGGGTTCAAGTCAGTAGACTGTCCCTGAGTCCACCCAACTCTGATGGGTACCTAACTCACATTAGGGAAAGTAAAGGCGGCTGGGCATGATGCTGACCACACCATCTCTTCGTAAGCAAAGGTCACAGAAACAAGTGAACTCTACTTCACTTCAGGTTTGAGAAGGGAACTTTTACACGTTTGCATTTTACCCTGACCCATTGTAAGTATCGGGTGGTGGTAGGATGTGCGACAAAAATGTTATGTGACAGGCGGTTTTCGCACCCTTCTTGCAATTTACTACTGCCTCGCCATTTTGCGTCTCTCAATTTACCAACACCTAACAAAACTGAGGTTTTTACATGTTATCAAAACAAACTATAGGTGGCAGGGTTGGGAAATTTTAAAATTTGCTTTGGAGTATGAAGGCTTAATTAATGAGGTTACATTTAAAATAATAGAACTTTTAAAATATCAACAGAGTAGGTACAAAAATAAGCGAGTAAGTGGAGCATTATCAGGTTTATCAGTCTCAAAAAAAAGAAAAAAATATCAGCTGTTTTTTTATAAGACCGTCACCAAAACCTTTTTTTTTATTCCATGATACCATAAGGGTGATATAATAGGGTTGTAATGGAAATGTGTGCAGTGCCATGGCTTTGAGTAATAATAAATTATTAATTTAGTCTAAAACAAGCTAAAGTCCTCTAAATTGGTAGCTGGTGGTTTAAGTATGGGTCTATTATTCACTGGTTATGTTTGAATTGAAATTTTGAAAACTGATGGGTTTTTTTTTGGGGCATTTTCGCAACGTGTGTGGATCAGGTAATCAAATAAGACATCACCAAATCACTTCTGTATAAATTAAAATTTTAAAATTAAATTAATCAACAGCACTAATACAAAAACTACTTAAAATATAAAACAGAAATATTTTAAGTTGTTTTTTATCTTTATTCAAGATGTAGCATAATTTATTGTATTTCCTATTACTGCTTGTAATCTGATTTTTAAAGGGACACAACTTAAATATTGTTCCTTTTAGGCATTTCATGGTTTTCTTTTCTTTCAATTTAAATAATAAGTTATTGGAATCTATATATATATAATTCTCCTCTTCGAGCCGTTAGAAAACAAGCTGCAAACGCTCTCCCTACCTCCCCACCCCTACATGGTTTTAGTGAGCTGTGTTCACTCTAAATGTTTACAAGCAGAGCCAACGATTTTAAACGTAGGGGGGGGAGGGGGGGGGGTTATGGTCCTTAACGAGCTACTTATAGTGTTTTAAAGAAATATTTTCAGTGTCAGCGTTGGTACTGTCGAATTCACAAATTATGAATTATTGAAAATTAGAAACAACTAAATAGCGGCGTATGTTACGCCGCGGGCCGGCTCGTAACATATATTTTAACTCTGAGGTTAATGTTCAATTTTTCAGGTGTGTTAAGTGTTTTAAAGAAATTTTAAATGATTGATGCAGTGCACATAAACTAAGTTATAATCTATTTATATGCTATACTTACACTTTGTCTCTTTGTGTATATAATATATATATACTTAACTTTTATCATTTGGTAGATCTGGGGTTTTGGATTTAAAACAAATGCTAAATATATTCTACTGACTTGATGACCAAAAGTAAAAATAAAAATGAATTACATAATACCTGTATAATTTAAAAAGTCACTTATCTCAAAACCATAAAAAACTAATTTGATTTCATTACATCAGTGCATGTCTAAATTGTTTCACGTCCACACGTCCAGTGTTTCTTCCAAACATTTTTTCTCTGTGGGTGCACTTGAATTTTTTTTTTGGGGGGGGGGGGTGGGGGGACGACAGCACTGTTAAGTATATATTTTCTATATAAATTCCGTTTCATTCAGAAAAAGATAGTTTTGCAATCTTGTCTGTGTGTGTGTTAACACAATAACTTGAGTACCGATACAGCTAGGTTAATGAAACTTCATATATAAGTATTATATCAAAATCGTAAATCCATATAAACTTTTGAGCGATTTCCCATAACCAGAAGTGGGACTTTTACTACTTTGTATTTTTCAAACGCCTATAACTTGAGCACTATTTCAGATATATAAATGAAATTTCACATACAAAAGATCTAATTCTCTGCCATCTATCAAATTTTGAGTAACTTCTGCTTACCGAAAGTAGTAATTTACGCTATTTCTGATTTCTCAAAAACGCGTGTGAATTTATAAAGTACTTTAATATTCCGCACTATTATGCACATTTTGTTTGGTATTTACTTGGTGTGCAATTCTTTTTTCTACGAGATTTTATTCTATTTTTAAAAAGTTTAAGTATTTAAAATAGATTAAAAATCATGTCTATATCCCGAGTTGTCATCCCCTGTTGTTTCATATAAGAATATTCGAGAACGTTTATTTTTTGTTATTACTGAACTGAATTCTGCTTGCTCTATTATCTTATAGATTGATATTTTAAAATTACTAAATTATGAAAATTCATAATCATAATAATTATATAAGGTATTTAATAATAATAGTGATACTGTTTGTAATAAGATATGTTTCTTGATTTACAAAATATATTTAAAGAATTTATTATTTCTTTGCAATGCAAGGATAAGCAATTAGCTACTACACAAGATAATTTTATCATGGGTTATCTTTCTTTGCTATATTATCCTAAAATCTTGATTTGTAACATTCAACTGTTTCAATCATTAAGAGAAATCTGTTTCCTATTATTGACAATGTACAGCAGTGTATAAAAGCTCTGACTAAAAATAAACAACTAAGTTTATTAATAAGCCTCTCTGTGTAAAGGATACACTTAGTGAATACTGAACAAATTATCAGATCACTACTGTATCATGTTATGTCTTTTGTAGTTTTACCTTTTTGGCTTATTTAGACTGGATTCATTTTCAAACATACATTAGAAAATAAATACCTTTTTTTTTAGAAAAGTAAAATAAAATGTAATTTATTTATGCTCCAATGGTTATGCATTTTAATGTATTTAATTAGATACTTTTTTCTACTACACATGTAAAGTTGACTAATTTTAAACCAACATTGGCTGTCAAATATGTATTAAATTTAAAAATCCTTTTTTCCCCAGAGTGTTACTGATATTGAAGGCTCTCTGTTTGTGTATAGAAGGTAAGTTTAGAAATTCTTTTGTGTGTGCAATAGTTTCTTCACAAGGGAGGCTATCTGTAGAATAAATCAAGTATAACATTTTGTGGATGGTTTCCTTTGAGCATACACATGATGTGTTTGTATAGTTACATCTTTATGGAAACTGATATTTCTGTCTTTAGTTAAATAAATACATTTTAGTTTTTAAATTAAATAATATTGAATATCTAATTTGTTAACATGTTATTTTACAAAGCTAGTGGCTTTGTAATATAATAACTAGTAACAATAACTAGTAATAAGAAAAAGTAATGGAGTTGAAATGAAACAAATTGTTAAAAATTTTCTGTTGTTTATGATAACAATGCTGCAAAAATATTCATGTGTGCTCCAATTATTTGAGTGAATTATTTTGTGCAAGCTGCAGTCTTTAAATAAGATTTAGTTTTTCTTTGATTTATATTGTGCTTGTAAAATATAAAAGTTTGGCACACACCTTATCTCTATTCTACTAAAACTCACTGGACCTTCCTGTGACACTGACACATTCATAGGCCTGTGTGTGTGTGTGTATATTTATTTATGCACACATAGTTGTCAATATCACAAGTCAAGATCAGATATTCTGCAATATGTGTAGATTTTTAAACTGTTTATTCAGAGAGAAAAATGTATAAATTTAATGTAATTTGTTATTTAAAAATGGTGCTAAAAATACAAGACGTATTTGAATTTAAAAAGGCACATTAACAATTAAATCAGAGTACTTTACCTTTAGCTTTCACTGTAAAAAAAAATAGCCACTCATTGTGTGTTTAGTAATCATCATAAACCCGGCATTGCCCACCCAAACCACAACCAAACAAAACGCAAACATAACGCTAACATAATTACAAATACAAACGAAAACAAAAACCTAACAACAAACCCAACCACAACCACAAACACCAATACAAACACAAAGAAAAAACAAACAAAAAAGCAAACGAAAACAAAAACTTAACAACAAACCCAACCACAAACACCAATACCAACACAAACAAAACAACGAAAAAGCAAATGAAAACCAACCAAATCCAAACGCAAAACCAACCAAAAACACAAATACAAACCCAAAGAAAAAAACACAAACAAAAACGAAAAAAGAAAGAACAAAAACGAACCAAATCAAAACGCAACCACTAACGCAAACCCACCTAAACACAAAGAAAACACTAACGCGAACATAAACGCCCGGGGCGAAATCACCTGTTTTAGCTTAATGAACGACTATTGTACCCCAACTTATTCATAGTCTTTTGAACTCACTTAAACGAACGCGCCTGTTTCAATTTAATGAACAATTATAATACTCCAAGCTTATCCGTAAAATACCTACAACATTTGCACTTGATCAATCCCCGCTAATTATGTAATTATTTTTTTTCCCAAAACACAAAAACAAAGTAATAAAAAGTAAATTCTTTTCCACTAATGCAATGGTTTTATAAAGGGAAGTAATTGTGTTTTCCTAATTTATCAAAGGGAAGTAAGTGCTATAGGACTAAATAAAGACATAATTAGAATTTTTGTAAAAGATGATATTTTTTTTAAATTGTGTTTAATGAACATGCCGACAATTATTACTATCAGTTTGAAAAATGAAAATTATTTCCCAACACTTTCAATAGTAATTTTTTAACTCATAAATTTAGACAAATGCGCACGATAATAGTCTAACACTTTAATCCATCTAAGTATGTCAACGACAAACATGTATTTTTACATACAGAATTGAGCTTTATATATTAGATTGAAAAGTTTAATGCATTATAATGCATTATTTTCAATGGTCTTTAGCTTTAACAATATATTCGCTATTTCTATTAGAATTAGATTCCAACAATCTTGTCAATTTTTTAATTGGATATGTTAGGCAAATCTTCCAAAACTAGATTTGAAGTTCATTATTTTATTCATTTATCAGCATGGACTACCTAAAATATTTTCACATTATATTGTCAGCCAAAATATAAAACAAATTTTAGTTTAAACAACAAAAAACAACAACCAATAAACTGAATTATTTTGGTGTTTTGTTGACTAATGTAAATATTCAGGGGATGCAGATGGTGCACTCCTTCTTGCATGGATGTCATAAATAGGTGACCTAGAGGGAATGGGCATGATTTGTGGTGTGAGAAGAGGCTGTCATTTGTGGTGAAGAGATGCATTAGTGGTTAAATGGAGGTTGCTGGGCTTAGTGAGAGATTGGTTTGTGTTGTAGACAGTCCGTTTTCCTATGGAAATCTTGGAAATCTGTATTGTCAAGTAAACTACTGAAAATCTGAACTAGCTACCTATATGGCAGGTGCTTTGCCATAACTAAGTTTTATGCAAATCAAAATTTGTTCTGTTTTCCTCTGAAGCTTGAAAAAAAGTATTTATACTTTTCAAGTTAGAGGATTTGTTTGACAGATGCAATCAGTAACAAACTTTGAAAACTGTCAGTTGGTTAGATTTTTTGTTTGGCGTTGTCATTTTTAAATAAATTGGAAACAAAAATTGTAAACAAAGAAAATATTATAAAAGAAGACTAATTTCTACCAAGGGAAGTATGGCATTAATAGATTATGAACTTGTGTATAGTGTAGTTTCCTGTAAAGTGTAACAGATTGCCACTAATCAATTAGGATCAATAGTGGAAGTTTAATTGTAAGTATAAACTTAAGTTTACTTCTGCCATGCATTAAGGGTGGTAAGGATATAATTTATAAAGCAACTAATTACTAGATGTGAACATTTTTTTTTTGAGTTACATGTTAACTGACATCGATACATACATGTGGTAAATGTTAGCTGACAGCTACATGTAGCTTTGGTCCCTGCTGTTTCAAAATGTGATAAATGCCATCCCTATGGCTAGGGGTGAGCAAAGTCCTGGTGGCTAATATTTTTAGAGCAGGTAGCTTGCTGAGTACAGGTGTATAAGGTGTATGCAGGTAACCCACTATAAAGTTAAACAGATTGGGGTTTGATTTATGGTTGTTCTGCCCAGTTGTTATTTTTTTTGTTGTAAGAGTTATTGATTTTTAGCTTTAATTTATATTTGGAACTAGCTATATTAATACATAAATACTTATTGCCCTCGTAAAAATGGGCCCCGATAATTAAAATGATTATTTCCAGATATATATATATCATGTCTTGTCTGTACATCAGACAGGGAGGAAAACTAACATGGATGCCACCTGACTTTGTTTTAGACATGTTTTGTGCTAAAGTAAAATCAGTCAGTGTCTTACATCTTTTCCATAGATCAAATCAGGATATGGATCTACTGGACCTATCCATCAGATACATTCTAAACTGTCTACACTGGCCTACTGTAGATATATAACATATCTACTGTGGCCTACTGGAGATAAATGGCTACACTGGCCTACTGAAGATGTATGTCTACAGTGGCCTGTAGTTGTATTACATGTATAAAGTGGCCTTCCCTAGATACATAACATGTCTTCTGTGGCCTACTGTAGATGTAATTTTACATTTGCCTACTGTAGATGCATGTCTACATTTGCCTACTGTAGATGCATGTCTACATTTGCCTACTGTAGATGCATGTTTACATTTGCTTACTGTAGATGTATGTCTAGCCTTGCCTACTGTAGATGTATGTCTACACTTGCCTACTGTAGATGCATGTCTACATTTGCCTACTGTAGATGCATGTCTACATTTGCCTACTGTAGATGCATGTTTACATTTGCTTACTGTAGATGTATGTCTAGCCTTGCCTACTGTAGATGTATGTCTACACTTGCCTACTGTAGATGTATAACACCAATGCATGCATCAACTGATTGCCGGTGCATGATAACCTATTAGCGCTGTGTTTTCCCCATACACGACCTACATATCTATCACCTGTTCAGGTAGAGGGGTGCCTAAGGTGTAAAAATTAAAAGAAATCTGCATTTTTTTAATATAGGAAATGTTTATGAAAGATATTTCACTTCCATCGTAGTTGATTTTGAATGATACTTTTCCATTTAGGACATATGACATTAATGTTGTGGTAAACTTGTGCACTTTAGTTCAGACAGGTTTTAGGGATTGGGGAAGGGTGCTTTTTGACCTTTGGTGGGTTATGAGTCCAGTTTGAGAAAGTTGACCCTGTGTCTGAATTTGCAGGCTTATTGCATTGATTGATATCTGTTGGTTAGTCTCTTCAGCTTAAACACATTGCCTGTTGTAGTCCTTCTCTATTACTTTGGCTTCTGACCTTTATTAATCATGCTTTTTCTCTGGCCTTTTTCTCTACTTTAGCCTGTTACCTTTGTGAGTCATGCACTCTAACTTAGTCTAGTTAGTCATTCACTACAGCTTTTGTCTGTTACCTTGGTTAGTCATTCACTACAAATTCACTACAAATTTAGCCTGTTACACTAACTTTTGTTTGTAAGAGCTACACTTGTTTTAGATTAGTTGCCTGTTAACTAAAATTATGGTCAGTACAATACCACGAAGCTGTGATAGAGGGCTCCATTAGAGGAGTATGTGTACTGTAGGACTACATGTTGCAGTCACACTACATGTTACAGTCATACTAGATGCTACTGTCATATTAGATGCTACTGTCATATTAGATGGTATAGTCACACATGTTAGTCACACATCTTAAGTCATATTAGATGCTACAGTCATATTAGATGCTATAGTCACGTTTCATGTTATAATCACACTACATGTTATAATAACACTACATGTTATAATAACACTACATGTTATAGTCACATTAGATGATATAGTCATATTAGATGTTGCTGTCACATTAATAATGCAGTCAAGAGTTGTTAAGATTTTTGCTAGTTTATAATTTTTATGCACCTCAAAAATGTGTAAGTCATACACTACACAAATAATATTTTTTTATATTTCCAATTAATCAAATATTTATACTATGTCGAGTTGGTATTTTTTTTTAAAGTAGTGTTCAGCTATTTTGTTTAGTAGAAAAAAAAAGACTGAAGTGCCAT